GCGTCCCCCGTCGTGACTTTGATGCCAGCTAGGACGGGGCGTCTCGAGAAGGGCCGCCATAGTTCACCTTTACGAGCATGCTGGCGGGCACGATGTCGCCTTTGGTCTCCAAGCTGTACATTTTGTTTCGCGTATTCATCTCGGGCTTTGGCAGCAGCACGGGCGCGCCGTTCTTCAGCAAGTGAGGAGTGAGTGTCGAGGGTCTCGTTGGTGTAGTCGATCGGTTGGTTGAGCTTGACGCTGCCACCGTCAATCAGGAGGTATTTTGCGGCCGATCTCGGTGTTATCGATGAGCGCGGCGGCAAGGTCTTTGTTCTGGTTCCAGACTGCATGGGCGATGCTCCTCAGGGTCATGCCGCGGATCTCCCTGCTGATGTCCGAGTTCTGCGAGTCGAGTTCGGCCGCGGGAATCTTCGTGAGCGCGTTCCTGGTCGGGCGGGCGGCCTCGTGCACCAACGATTTCTGGAATCGCCATTGGTGAACTGGGTCATAGTGAGATATAGCATGTCGAGCGGATAATTTCGCATAGCGATGAGCGTAATGTGGGGGATCATATAGAAAAGCAGGAACAGGTTGATCTTGCGCGGGCTTGCTGCGTGCAGGGCGACTGCGGAGATGCATCGTCTTGTGGTCGCTTATCATGCCAGTTGGGCTTTCGAATGGAGAATCATCAGCCTTGAGTTCAATGTCCATGAAGGGGATGTCGTGCGAGGCCAGGGAGACGAAGCAGCGGTCGATGGTGCTCTCCGTGTGATTGGCAACCGCGCGGCGCGCGGTGGCCATCGTGGTTATCTCGAGCATGTCCTTGAAGAGGTTCTTCCAGAAGAGCGGCTGGTACTGGCATCTGCTCGCCTCGATCGTGGTGGAGTCGATCGGGGACAATGAACTCCTCGGTGGGTGCGCTGAGATATTGAAGCCGCCGAGCATGATGAATGTCCTCCTGTGTGGATCAGCTGCCGCGTGATCCCGTTGTAGCTGCCAGTGTTCACGGATAACATCTCGATCACTCGGCGACAAGTCGTAGTTGTGGATGTTGAAGATCACCGTCTCATATTGACGCGATGGGTCCCGCATGCTGAGCGAAGCAGCTCTCCCAGGAACGACCTCGACAAGAAACTGCAGAGGGCATTCGTCGGGTGGGCGGCTCTGCTCGACCTGGTCGTAAGGCACGAGAAAGCCAATGCCGCCCGCCGCCGTGCAGTTCGGGAGGCTGGAGTGATAGGCGCGATATCGATGAGGAGTGGAGCGCGCCAGCATGTCCATGTCGAAGCTCGCGCCGTGGGTCTCTTGCAGTGCAATCAAGGCCCGCTGCCGCATGAGAGGTAGCAGAAGAGATCGTTTAGCAACCCGCCGTTGGTCAGAGGATCCATGAAGAGCTTGAGTATTCCAGAAGGCGATGTGCATGCCGTGGTCAGTCTGCTTGCATAACCACGGCGCCCAGCGAGGGCTAAAGCCACTGCGCTGCCGTGAATGCATCAGAGAAGCTGTTCTCGAAGGCCGTGCTCATGTTCTTCTGGTGGTCGTCATTAATGCCGGCACGGGCCGCGGCAGTTGTCCATCTGATTGTGGTGGGCTCCTCTGGTGTGGTGCCGACGTGGATCTGTACCAAGACCTCGCTGTTGCTGGTGATGTATCCCTGTCCGCGGTGCAACCGGAGAGGAAGCTGCGCAAAGCGCTCGGTGACGAGGGTGCCGAGGCGCTTGAGTTGTATTTCGCGTCGAACTGTCCGAGGGCTCTTATCAGCCGAGACGTAGAGTTGTACAGCGGGGCCACCCTCTCTGGCGAGCTCGAAGGTGCGCCAATCACGTCCTTGTCGGAGCGCTCTGTGAAGACGACGTGCTCTGGGCTCAGCCACCACCGTGCCGCCCGTGACGGTGAAGCTGTGCTTCCTGTCCAGTCCCGTGCTGTTGAAGGATATCTGGTCGAGCGTGACGTTGGCATTTCGGAGCCATGCGGCGAGTGCCGTTTTGAGCTCCTCCGTGCTGAACGTGGTGGCGGCCCCGCACCAGAAAGTACATGGATCTGCTTGCCTGTCGAAAGTCGTGTTCGTGATGTCCAACCATGGATTGCGAGCTTTTGCCTCGCCAACGATCCGCTCAAGTTTTGCCACCGATTCACGAAGCTCTCGGGTAGCGGTCTCTGTCTTCTCAACGCGACACTTTGTACTCTGCAGTTTTCTCTCGGTCCGCTCGTTCTTAGCATGGAGGTCGGCCGTGATGGAAGTGACGGTGGCCATGAATTGTTCTCTAGTTGTTTTCCACAACTGCGTTGGCTGTCTTCTCGAATTCAGCAGCAACAGACTTGACCTGCGCGGACAATGTCTCCTCCAATTGGTGTCGAGGGTGCGCAGGGAGTTCTTGCAACTGTGTCTTCTGGGCGGAGTGGAACCATGGGTCTTGAGGCTGCGCAGCGATTCCTTCCGTTCGTTTTGCACTGGCTGGCTGAGATTCGTTCGGTGGCATGGAACTCGCTCACCAACAAGAGACACGTCACACAAGAATATGAAGGCCGCCGCCACGAGAGCAACCGCAAATGAAGATGGAAAGGTGAGCGGCCTGCACGCTCGTGATTGGATCAAGCAAAATCTCCTGGGAGCTGGCCGCGGACTAGCGGTATCAATTTGTTGGCGTGGCCAAAATGAAGATCTTGAGCCAAAATGGCTACGGAAGGAGGAGGAGGAGGAGGACAAGGTGAGGGAGCAAGAGGAGGAGGAGGAGGAGGAGGAGGAGGAAGAGGAGGAGGAGGAGGACGAGGTGAGAGAGCAGGAGGAGGAGGAGGAGGAGGAGGAGGAGGAGGAGGAGGAAGAGGACCCAGGCCCCCTCGAGTCGGGACAACAAAAATACGACGGGAAGCGTTTCGCCATCTTCAGCCTCTGCGGGGGGCCATGAAATTACGGGCCTCGGGCCCGACAAAAAACGACTCGGAATGAGAAAAGCCGGCCGCGAGGAGTGGGCCAAGACCTCCAGGAGTCGACTTTGCAGTCCGACCTAAGCCAGAAAAACAGACTTCAAGAACATGAGACCCTTCGCAGGCCAAAGCGAAGAGAACATCCAAGGGTACCCTCCCCAGGATGCACGAGAACATCCAACCAACACGGAGAACACCAAGGTACCCTCCCCTTAGCGACCTCGATCTTACACCTCGGCGCGACGTGATGAAACAACCATGGCGCCGGGGCCTGGGGAGGCCACGCACGACGGCAGGCCGACGCTCGTCGCCGCGGCGGGCGCGGCGGCCCTGGACGCCCTGCCGCTCGACCGCCCCGGCGGGCACCCGGGGAGCCGAGCCCGATGTGGAGGTCTCGCAACAACTCAGAGCAGCGAGGTCCGAAATGGATCCTCCTCCTCCCCCTCCTCCCCCTCCTCCCCCTCCTCCCTCCTCCTCCTCCTCCTCCTCCTCCTCCTCCTCCACCTCCTCCTCCTCCTCCTCCTCCTCCTCCTCCTCCTCCCCCTTCGCTCCCGCCCCCCTTGTCCCCGCCAGCGCCCCCCTTCGCTCCCCCCAAATCTGAGGCTGCAAACAAACACTGCAACACTGCGCCAAAATCACCTCTGGAGCCCCGGGCCCCATCGTCCCGCGTCGTGCTGCGAGCCAGATGGATCTGTGAGGGTCCTGGCGCCCGACCACGGCGAAAGCACCCAGTGTGACAAAGATTGCAAGGCTCGGATCTGAGGGTCCGCTGGTGCTCCCAGGTGCCCACGAAGGAGGTGACGGTTGTGCAGTTCGCAGCCTCCCAGGGAGCAACGAAGTCTCAAGTGGATTCGCGTGGCCCCCGCGCCTCCCTGGCCCGGTCAGGAGGGCGCGTACGGCCCTCGCGCTGATCGCCCTAAGAAACGCCACGTGAGGTGTGGCCCCCCTCTTGCCTGAGCGGCGCCGAGCAGCCGCCGGCCGCATCGTGCAAGAGGCCAGACGCGGCGTCGTCAGCTTGACAGCGTGCAGTTCTGACGGCGTGCTTCGTTCACCCGAGTCTCTGCACATTGGAAAGCGTTCTTTACACAGTGCGGGCGCGGCCGCCAGAAACCCTCGCAAGAAACCCATCCCTGCAAACCCGCGCGCGAGTTGCACCTCAGGGGAAACCGCAGCACCTTGAACGCAGCAGCTTCAAAGGCTGCGGGAAGTCACCGCACAGAGCGCGGAGCGAAGAAATCGATGATACCCTGACGAAAAACATGTGGTTTCCTGATGCGCGGCGCCCGCGCGAAACGTGACGACGTTCCTGGCCCCCCGCCCCCCTCCCTAAGACGAAGCCAGGACGAAGACAAATTCGAGAGAAGATAAATCGGGAATCTCGGAGATCCGGCGGCTCTGGAAGACGTCTCGGGCGCCGCGGACTTCTCAGAGTGTTCTGGAACGCTCTGGAACGGATTTTGTCCTTGTCCTAGGCCCTTTCCCACTCCCTCCCCCAAAAACGCCCGGTTTCGCCTGGGGGGAAACGCTCTCCTTTCATCCGAGTCTCTGCACATTGGAGGCTGAAGGGTCTGAACTGGAACCACAACAATCGGCCAGGAAAGGGGGATGAGGCCAAATCCGCTCTCAGAATCGGTCCCCAAACCCCTCCCGAGGTCCACCTGGTACATGTGTCCATCATGGATCCGTTTTTGTCTGGCCTGTGGCCCGAAAACGGCCTCCCGAGGCCGAGAAAGGCAACAAACCAGAAAAACCTGCTCGAACCCAGAAGCTCGCACCTGGCCCCCCCTCCTGCTGGCCAGGACCAGTGCTGGGCCACCTGAGACCCCCAGACGGCTCCAAGCTGCACAGGGCTCGCTGCTTTGACTGAGCGCCGCGCAGCGCCGCCACGCGAGCGTGACTGGGCAGCACGGCACGAGGGCGGCGCGCGGCGCTCGCGAGGAGCAACGCGGCACGACACGACAGATGCGCGAGGACGCAAGACCCTTCCAAGGGCCCCACTGCCACAGGAATGCAGAAGGCATGGGTCGCGAAACACAGGACACAAGGGTACCCTTGCTTTGGCAGGGTCGCCCCCGGGCGGCGCTGCGGGTCTCCACGGAGGAGCCCCTGCCCCTGCACTTCATGCACCTCGGCGCGTGGCGGCGCGGGTCGGACAGGGCGCTGGGCAGGATCGGTCAAGGCATCGGCCCGCAAGAGCGGATCGGAGGAAAGAGATGGGGCGACGAGATCTGTACATACTAGGACGAAGCCAGGACGAGGATACACTCAGGCAACGAGAAATCGAGGATCTCTGACATCCGGCGGCTCTGGAGGATGTCTCGGGCGCCGCGGCCTTCACAGCGCGTTCTGGAACGCTCTGAGAGCGTTCCGAAACGCTCTGGAACAAACTTTCTCCTTGTCCTAGGCCCTTTCCCACTCCCTCCCCCGAAAACGCCTGTTGCCGCCTGGGGGAAACATCTGCTCTCCTTTCATCCGAGTCTCTGCCCATTGGAGCCGGCGGGGGGGTCTGAACTGGGACCCCAACAATCGGCCAAGAAAGGGGGATGACGCCAAATCCGCTCTCAGAATCGGTCCCCACACCCCTCCCGAGGTCCACCTGTGACATGTTTCCATCACGGATCCGTTTTTGACGGGTCCGCGGCCCGAAAACGGCCCCCCGAGGCAGAAAAAGGCAACAAACCAGAAAAACCTGCTCGAATCCAGAAGCTCGCACCTGGTCCCCTCTCCTGCTGGCCAGAACCAGTGCTGGGGTCTGAACTGGACCCCAGAAGTCGGCCAGCAGCGGATTTCGTCCTCGTCCTGGCCCGGCCAGGGAAGCATGCGTCCAGGGGCCCAGGGGCACACCAGTACATACACACAAATCCCAGGATTCCCCAGATGTTTCCATATCTTCTGGATTTTCGTCTTCCCCCCCACTTCCCATATTTCCCCACCTTTCCTGGGACTCGACGATGAATTGTGTCTGTGTCTTTTTTCCCACCTGAATGTACACCGCTCGTGGGCCCAGGGTGGACCAGACCTGTAGCAGTGGAGATGTACAGAGCTCGTCGCCCTGTCATAAAGATCCCACAAAGGACGTACGGGCCCGACTATGTACGTGAACACCGCCCCTCGATCCGCGAGATCAGCCGCGTGACACGACCATTCGCGCTCGGCGCACTCTCGCAACCGACGTGGATTCACGTACGTGTACGTCCTTCTTTCGGTCCTGATGTCAGGGCTGGGGCAGGATCGGCCAGCACCGGCCCGCGAGATCGGATCGGGCCAGAGCGAGCACTGGGTCGGGCCGCATCGGCTCGGAGCCGAACCCAGACCCCCTCGAGTCAGGAACAAATTACGACTGGAGGCTTTGCGCGAGTTCCAGCCTCTGTCGGGCGTTGGCAAAACTGGGTTTACTGGGACCTGGTTTGGTGATGTGTACTGGGGGACGCCCCCCCCGCCCCGTTCCACTAACCGGAACTGCCGTCACCCGAAAAAACATGATCTGCGGCAGACCCTGTTTAGTGATTCTGGCTAATTTCGAGGCTCCGGGGCCCTGTCCCCTTACCTGGGGTCCTAGCTACACCCGACTGTAGCAGCGGAGATGTACAGAGCTCGTCGCCCTGTCAGGGCTGGGGCAGGATCGACCAGCACCAGCCCGCGAGATCGGATCGGGCCGGAGCGAGCACTGGGTCGGGCCGCATCGGCTCGGAGCCGAACCCAGACCCCCTCGAGCCAGGAACAAGTTACGACGGGAGGTGTTTTGCGAATTCCAGCTTTTGGCGGCCCTTCTCAGGTCTTGGGACCGTCAAACACCGGGTGTTGCTAGAAGAGCCCCTGGTCCGTGGTGCCCCCAGTTTTTTGTTCTGTTTAGGAGCCCCGGAGGCCCTCTGGTCCTCGTGAGGGGTGCCCCGGAGGCCGTCTGGGCCACCCCAGGAATCATGGGGGTACCTTAGGCCACTCGGGATGAGAAACCGGTCCTGGGGAACGGGTCGAGACCTCCGGGGATCGACGTCATGAAACAATCGTGGCGTCGGGGTCTGGGAAGTCGGGTCGAGTCGGCCGCGCCAGGGTGCACGGCAGCGCCGTGCAAAAACCGGGCCGCACCAAGCCGTCTGGAGACCGGAACCAGGTTGACTCTCGAGGCTGGCCGACGTCGATGCGGCAGGTTCGTGCCGTGACGACCCCGGCGTCGGTTTCTGACACCGCGTGGATCGTTCAACCTTGAACGATCGGCGGCTCTTCGATCGCCCAATCGTTTCACGTTGGTCGATTCTGGGCCACTGGCGGCGTTCAAACTTGAACGCCCGCGGCGGGGTCGACGAGGGGCGAACTTACCGTGTCAGAGCGGGTCGAGGTGGGCCCTGAGCGCGCGCAAGCTGTGCACTCCTCGCCCTGCCTCGCTCACGTCCCAGGTCGTCCGGAGACTGGAATCGGATCGACTCGGGGCCGGCCGAAGTCGACATCAGAGCGGATCGAGGCGGGCCCTGAGCGGGCGCAGGCTGTGCACTCCTCGCCTTATGATGTTCCAACCTACTTTAGCCTTGGCCGCCAGAAACAAGAATCTCGAGCACCAAGGGAAGTACCGAATCTTGGGTTTTTTCACGCGTCGGGCCCTGGGAAGCGACACTCGTCCGACACTGCTTCGACACTTTTTTCTGGGTGCTCGAAATGATTTCTGGGATGCGGTCCTTAAGCACCATGGGAGCAGCATACAGTCGGACTTGATTGGAGAGGACACACGAGAGAACACAAGACCCTTCCGAAGGCCACGTTGCCACAGAAATGCAGGAGGCACGGGTCGCCAGGGTACCCTCGATTTGGCAGGGTCGACCTACTAATCCGGGCCGACTGTAATCCTCGCCCCAGCCTCGCTCACGTCCCTCCCCTCTGCGCGGCGGGGCGGAGGCGGCCACTGGCGCCGCGCTCTCCGCGACGGTGCCGTGCGAGAGGCTGGCCACAGGTCGTCGTTCTCGTCGTCGTCGTAGTCGTCGTTGTCGTCGTCGTCGGCGTCATTCACACAGTCCAGGTCGTCGTCGTCGTCGTCGTCGCCGCCGTCGTCGTCGTCGTCGTCGTCCGTATGATCGTCGTCATCGTCGTTGTCGAGGTCGTCCGGTTGCCTGAAAGACTGGCCTCCCCACACAGTGCACTCTCGCCAGGTCCTCCACCCTCCACCCCGCCCAGAGACCGCTCAGGGAGAGACGGACGAACGAAGATCACCAGAAGCAGATGTATGCGCAGAAGCTGTTGCCAAGCGGATGCATGATGCCTCAACCGCCTCGGTGCCTCGTGCTGTTCGCATGGGGGCCAAGACAACTTACTTGAGGTCATCATCGCACAGTCTCGCATCAAGTCCTGCCGGCAATTTGGAATTCCGCGGTTAAGACCTTTTCTTGTTCCGTCTTTTCATTCCGCCCTTCGGGGAGGGGTTTGCGCATCTTCCAGCACCTCCCCTGCATCTGGACGGGGGGGGGCCACGAGGTGTCAGAGGGCCCTTTTTCGGCACAAGTTGGCTCCAAGCTGGATTACAGATGGCTGCAGATGCCCTTCAAAAAGCAACGGTGGTTTAGTGGTTTGGGCTTTTCGGGGGCACCCTTGGGAGGTTTTTGAGCCAAGATGGCTCCAAGAAGGCCTCGTGTAATGTCTTCCACGATGGCAAAATAATCCAAGATGGATCGGGATGACTTCTGGCGTGTCTCCAAGAAGCCAGAACACAACCCGAAGACGGCTCCAAGTGGGACGGGAGCGTCCCAAAGACACCCCCGAGAGGCCGAATCACTTCAGAATTGAACGGCTTGTCCATGTTTAATGTAATGGCGTCTCGCCTTTGCGCATACGATGTACATGAGAGGCCTCGAGATCTTCCGAAGATCGCCCAAGAGAGCCCCAAGAGGGGCCCAGAAATGGTCCGAGCCGGCCCCAAGGAGGGGCCAAGAGAGCTCCTCCAGAGCCTCCCAAGGGGGCTCCTGGAGGCGATTCTTCAGGCTCCACAGGCGCGGTGCCATGCGGCGCCGCCACCTTTCTTCTTCGATGGCTTCTGAGCCGGGCCCGAGCGGGCCCCCAAAGGCCCCCAAGCGGGCCCCAAGAAAGACCCAAGGAGACCCAACTGCTCCCAGATGGCCACAGGTTAGCCCCAGGAGGACTCCAATGGGTTTCTGAGTTTACCAGCGTGGGACTTCGCGTTCCACTGCCTGCTGACTTTGCTTCCCTTCTCCCGACAGCAGCGTCGAGCCGACTCGCAGGCGCGACGGGTGCCAGCGATGGGCCAATCTTCTCTGGACCTGCTCGCGGCGGAGGGAGTAAGCCACCAGTGGAGGCAAGCGCGGCGATAGCAGCCAAATAGCCAAGTCACAGCAGATCGGGAGAATCAGAGCGTAGTGCCAAGCACGTCGAAGCAGGAGATCACCCTCGAGGGAAGAAGCACCCACGCCTTGACGATGACCAAGGTGGATGGTGGGACGAGCTTAAGATCGACACCGACGTGTCCGCGGTCAGTCTTGGTCATGCCTCCCGTTCTCTTTCCCTCCATGCCCTTCGCAAAACGCACCGCCAGACCGTGTACGTTAGGCTGGGCAGCTCGCCAAGCGCCAGGGAGAGCGATCCGCCTCCTTTCACTCACAACGACACCCAGGCTGTCGAGGGCGCTGGCGTCCCTTGTCCTCGCCACGGGCTGCCAACGCGTACCTGCACGACTCTGTCGGCGCCAGGGCGTCGCATAATGACAAAGTTCCTGGCCCCCCTGCACAAACGATACACTGCTGAGCGATCCCTGGAGGGAGCGGCCGAAGATTCCGCACCACCCTGAACGCCTCTGGCGTGACGATGGACAGCGATGGGAGCGCCAAGGGTGTGCCGACCACGTACGCGCAGATGTTCCTGTAATCGAACATTGCCTTCCACCGAAATCTTGGGAATGAGGGCCCGCAAGAAGCGACGCGGGAACCGCGCCAAATTGTCCCCTCGTCAGGGATGGTCAACCCGCAAGGACTGACCCCTGCGGGGCGCAAATCCAAGAAACCATGTTGCGCTGCCACATTGCGTACTCCATGGCACGCGCCAGGTCGCGGCGAGAACGGCTGAGCGCAAGCTGCTGCCGCTGGTCGGCGTCGATCTGCGGACCCGTGGGGAGGCAGGGTTGTCCGAGGCGTTCGGCAGGACCCATCAGAACCAACTCCACCCAATCGCAACACTACGATGAAGTCGGGCATGTCCCCCTACAGGCCGATTTTCGACTAAAAATTAGGAATACCCAAAACTACTCTAAATATACATCTCCTTGCATCTCGCAGCGCCGAGTCCGCCGCCACTTGCCAGGGAGGCAGCAGCGGCCCATCATCCAGCCAGTCTGGCCGACGACAGGAGAGGCGTTCTCCTTGAAGAAACTGTGCGGCGCACTGGTCGCAGCCTCCCCGTCGCTCGGACGTCCATACCCTGTGTGTTTTTCGGTTTCGTGCGTGGTTTGTTTCGCAGGATGATCCGGATGATCCAGGATGCTCCTTAATAATCCCCGCTGAGGAAAAGTGCACACGTCCGAGCGATACCAAGCAGCACGATGTGCATCGTCAGTCACTGCCCCGTCCAGACGCGAGTTCCCAGAGGCACCTCTCGCGAGATTCCCTCTGGAAAGTTAGGGTCATGTTTGGAGGCACGGAACGCGTCGCAGTCCTCGAGGGAGGCACCGACTGCTCTCCGCCCTCGCTGTTGCCCCGTTTGGCCAATTGCCCCCACTCCCACCCGCACTGGCTGCTGTTGCACCTCTTCGGCCTGTTATCCCCACTATTCGCTCAGATCGGGTGATGGCGTGTTACCTCCTTCACAATGCCGGATTTGGGCCTGCGTTCGTAAGCCTCCACCTCGGCCTTACCCTTCGTTACCTTGACCCGGGTCCTGTACTGCGTTCTCATAGACGTGTCCTCCTAATTACCTGATGTACCAACGCTTATCCACACAATCACATATGTTACATTCTGGCATGAAAGATGACAGACACACTGGCAAACCGGCACAAATGGAGGCAGGCGGGGGAGTCAGCCAGCAAGCTTCGACTGGATTGGTGGACGCGCAGGACAGGCAGAAAGTCAGACACATGGACAGGCATGCGGCCACGGAGGCAGACAGGCCGACATGCTCGGATGTAGGCAGGCAGATACCGAGAGACAGGTAACATAGACATAGACAGAGAAACAGAGGGGACAGAGAAACAGGAACGCGGGGAGGGACAGAGAACATGTATAGAGAGAGGGAGAGACGGAGAGAGACGGGCAAAGGTCACGATAGGCACAACATACACGTACACCCCTCTGTGGATATATATATATACATTCACACATAGAGACGTAGATCCGTAGAGAAAAAGAAGAAGAACAAACTACTCCCTAGCCGGCCAAATACGGAATTGTGCGACGCTGTTGGGCTGCTAAGGCCCCGGCTGCTGGCCCATCAACGTCGACCCGTCCGGCTTCAGCCGGCCATGGTGTGACGTCCACGAGTAGCGGCAATCAGTGCACCTGCCACCGAAGGGCCGTACACAGGAGAGCGGAGGTAGCAGGAGGGGGATGGAGAAGGGCGCGGAATGGCGAACAGAAGAACACCACCACTATCAGCACCTACAACACGTCATCATGACCACCACCATCGTTACTGCCATCGGTACCATTGCACCATCGCTTTATCCACAACGGCACGTCATCGAACACGCCATCGTCATCAACGTCATCATTATCACCGCCACCACCATTCGATCCGATTTTTGGGTGACGTAAAGGCATCGGTACCGCTACTCCCCGGATCTCTCATGGTCCCTAGGGTACGTTCTGACCAGGATTTCGAGCGAATCCAGCCCTGGCGACGAGGGGCCACCCAGGAGGCCCACAGAGGCGATCTCGAGGGGCGGGCAGCGGTATCGGCGCCGCTTCCTCCCCTGAAGCCTGGTCCTGCGGCAGACTGCGGCTGTGCCTTTCGGTGCACTGGTGCGACTGCCGGGGGAAGCGTCACGTGCGGCACACCTGCGAGCCCGTGGGAAGACAGGTGCCCATGGACTGTCCCGCGGCTGCAGGTTCCTCGGGTGCGCTAGCGTCCTGGTTTAAATTGACATCCCCGCCGCCCCAGCGGACGGCAACAGGGGAGTGGCATCTCTCTCCGCTGGCCTGCGGGTCTAGAAGAGAAACAAAAACACATAAACATAAACTTTTGGCGCTCCGCGCAGATTTCTTGGATCCGCGCTGGACCCCCCTCCCTGGCGCGCGGAGCGCGCCAGGGGCGGCGCCGGAGGCGCCGCCGTGGGGGCCCAGGCGCGGATCCAAGAAATCCGCGTGGAGCGCCAAAAGTTTATCTTTATGTGCTTTTTCTTCCCCGATAGGTGCCCATGGACTGTGTCGATTTTGCTCGGGCAAGCGGCACGGTTTCACGAAGATAGGCGGCGTGCCGAGGGGGCAGGCCTTCTCAGAAGGCGGCGGGGCTTCGGAGCAGGCTTAGACAGCCTCTCGGAGGGAAGGAGAACTCCTGAGCCTTCTGCAATCGCTAGTCGGATGCGGCCCTGGTCGCTCCCTGAGGGGGGGGGGACGGGGGAGAGCGACTGGGAAGGAGGAATCGGGCGCACGCTAACACGGATTGCGGAACCGTGGAGCTGGCGTGTGGGCGCCAAACTCACGGATCGGGAAATGTAACCCCCGGGAGATGAAGCCAATCCTGCCTGGTGTGGCGACGGAACGTGCCGCTTCGGCACGGAGGCGGGACCCGTCGCTTATCCGCGCGCCTTGCTCCACGATTGCGCTTCCTCGAGAAGAAGAGAAAAGGGGGAGAGCACTGTGGCACAACGGAGGGCTCCCAAGCGGCAACCACGACGTGTGTTGCGCAAAGCGAAGCGGTGGCATTCCAGCTTCGTGCTGAAGCCGTGAGGCAGCCCCGGGTCAGCTGCACGGCCATGCGAGGCAACCAACTGAACATACTTAGCGAGAGGACCTGACTCAATCTCTCAGTCAAATCGATGCCCAAACGCGGAGACGGCACGAGGTGAGAATGAGAGCGTACTGGAAGAGGGAATGTCATCACCGACGGTGAAGAGTACCGACGTATAGAAGAGGGTGTAACACATAACATATACATAAGAGACACATCAGCAGCTGCAATGTGGTCTAAGCCGCGCGCTGGAAGGTGGCGCAGACCACGCACATGTGCTGGCCTTGCGGCAGCGCTTTCTGGCCCATCCTACGCCTGTTCCCTGAGTGATGTGTTGTTGTTTCTCTTTTTCTCACTCTCTCCCTCTCTCTCTCTCTTTCCCGCTCTCTCCCTCTCTCCATATATATATATATATGTATATATGTATATATACACACATATACATATACATATGTGTAGATATGAGTTACCTGTTCTGTTCTAGTGGCATGAAGACCCCGTGAAGGTGACCACCAGAAACAGTGTTTCAAAGCGCCCAGTGCAATATGGTGACAGCGACGGCAACGACAGGAACGAGGAAGCAGACGGCGTGGAGAGAGAGGGATAGAGAGAGAGAGAGAGCAAGACTGCACGAAACGAGGAAGAAAGCAGCAATACTGAGGCAGGAACGCGAGCGCGAGAGAGAGAGAGAGAGGAGACAGCAAACAGCCAATCAGCCAATCGACGAACACATCAAACACTATGTGCTTCTCTCTTCTCCTCTCTCACTCTCCTTCTTCTTTTCAATTCTCTTTCGCACGTTCTCTTCAATATATGTAAATATAGATATACGTATATACATAAATCTGTATGTACAACATCTCTCTACATATTCCTCTACCTCTCTCTCTCTCCCCCTCTCTCTCTCTCTCCCTCTCGGTTTACCGAGGAATCTGGATTTCTACCTCGATATCGATGTTCCTCTTAGCCGATCCGGGCAGCGACAGGGGTGGGGCCCGACTGGCCCCCCCTTGCTGGCGGCGCATGGGCCGCACTCCAGCCCCAAGTTGGCCCAAGAGGGCACACAGAAGGACCCAAGACGGCCCAAGACTGACCCAAGACGTCCCCGAGAGACCCCAGACGGCCAAGATGGGCAACAAGACGGCCCATGTG